ATCAATTAGATTGTGGTCCACAAGTGAAACTAGTCACGATCAGAAAATTAGTATAAAGGATCAATAAAAAATCAATTAGATTGTGGTCCACAAGTGAAACTAGTCACGATCAGAAAATTAGTATAAAGGATCAATAAAAAATCAATTAGATTGTGGTCCACAAGTGAAACTAGTCACGATCAGAATATTAGTATAAAGGATCAATAAAAAATAAATTAGATTTCAAAACACCCAGAACCCAGCAACTTAAGCACTTCAGAAGTATGTATGTATGTATATATATATATATACTGCAATCAGAAATCAGCCATATGTAGATACATAAAATGTGCACTTCCAATTTATCTTTAATATAAAAATCAAAGTCAGACTTACAAAGAGTAGGGCGATATTAATACACAGGCCTAGCTAGGCCTGTATTTTAGGAGGACCTGAATGTTGAAGGCATCAACATTAAGTCAATATTTAAATTAAATTTACATGCATATAATAATGATAACTTTTAAATTTCACTTTCTGTAAAATGACAATATTTGAATCATCTTTCTTTTAAGCTCTTGCTTATCTGTCAAAGTTGGTCATTTTCTAAGGATCAAGACAAATATACTAATACATACCCTAACATCAGTTGAGAGATTTTCTTCCCCCATTAGATTGTTTGTTTGTTTGTTTTTGAGCAAAATCACATTGGGCTATCAACTGTGTCCACTACAGGGAATCAATCTCCGTATTTTACTCTTGTAAGTCCATAAACTTACCACTGTCCCACTGGGGCACGCCACCTCTTCCCCATTAGTTGAAAATGCTATTGATTCTGTGTCAATTCATGTATTCTCTGGTGTTGTTTACCTGGAGTTAAGAATTACGAACTCCTTTGAAAGTGTTGTTTCTTCACCCTTCTGTTTTTTACATTTCTTGTTGTGCTATAAAACAACCTATTTTTAAATAATTCAGCTTGATTTCACAGTGAATTATGGTGTACTATGGAGACTCACGGAAATAAAATTAACCTGTTATACCAGGTATGGACATTTGTTAGGTTATGTATATACTTTTAAGCATTCTGCTTTGTTGTATTTTCATATTATTTTTTCACTCTGGATTAATCATTATGTATTATTTGGTACCAGTACTCACAGTCTTTGTTAGTACATCTAGTTTATACATCCAACAGAAGTCAATAAGTTAAAACAATTATCTTACTTTTTACTACTTTGATGGTGGCAGTGGTGACCGCTTCACCCATCTCATTTGATGCACGACACATATAAACACCCACATCATCAGGCCGTACATACTGAATATCCAGAGCCACATAGCCAAAGTCATGAGTTGTCTTAACACGTGAGCCTTGAAGAAATACATTGATAAAAATAATCACAACTTAAAAAAAACATTCAACCACATTAACAGATTCATTAGAAGTTAAACAGTATCAACGTATAAAATTACAGAATGGAAAACTCAAATATATCTCAAAAACAATACTAAAATGATATATAATTTAGAAACCTAAATTATTTAATTGATTTTACCAAAACTGAATCATTCTGTCTTAAGCTAGAACTGTAGCAAGAGACATCAAATTTGTCCAAGTGTTTTTAAAATCCGGCTTCTATCTACTTATGTTTATATTTGTATAACTATATATCACAAATAAGATCAACCATGATAAAGCAGTATCCTGAAGAACTATAATATAATAATTCACAACCCAGTGGTTGTCTATCGAATCAAGCAGAACACTCGTAGATTATTTCCCAGATACAATATTCCATTAGATATTTCTGTATGTGTATGTATTTACTGTTGTTATTTTAATATTCCTTTAGATATTTCTATATATGTATGTATTTACTGTTGTTATTTTAGTCCCTTTTCTCTTTAAAGGTAATAACTTATTTGGCTAAAGGTAATAACTTACCTGGCTAAAGATAACAACTTACCTGGCTAAAGGTAATAACTTACCTGGCTAAAGATAATAACTTAACTGGCTAAAGGTAATAAGTTACCTGGCTAAAGATAATAACTTACCTGGCTAAAGGTAGTAAGTTACCTGGCTAAAGGTAATAACTTACCTGGCTAAAGGTAATAACTTACCTGGCTAAAGGTAATAAGTTACTTGGCTAAATGTAATAAGTTACTTGGCTAAATGTAATAACTTACCTGGCTAAAGGTAATAACTTACCTGGCTGTATGGATTTTTCATCAAAGAACCATTCCACTTTTAAAGTTGGGTCACCTACAGGAATCAATCGACACTCAAGGTGTGCACTTTGTCCCTCTACCAGGTCATCTAAGTTATGCAGAGGAGCTGTAAACACTGGTCGTTGGAAGGTTCTCGGCTCAACATACACATCACTCCGTTGTCGAGCTTCATCCTCAAGTGCTTGAATCTTTGCTAAACCTTCTGGATGTTGAGTATCCATAATTATACTGGTCTTTGCTAAATAAAAACAGAAGAGATCTGTTTGTTATCCTGAAATACTGTCAAGCTATACACATTCAACATAGTATAAACAATTCACAACATTTAAATGTTTTAGTAGTCCCCTTGACACCCAACCTTCCCTGTTAGCAATGCAGTAAGTGTCATTACTATCTTATCATAACGATGCATATTTCCAAACTTTACATTCATAACTTATATTGTACTTATATTATCCCCGAGTAGATTATGACATTTACAAAATATGAAAGAAATAAAATCAACTGACGTTTGTTTGTTTTGAATTTTGCACAAAGCTACATGAGGGCTATCT